TATTTGTGTGAGAGAGAGAGCATGTGAGCAGGGGAGGGACAAAGAGAGAGGGAGACACAGAATCTGAAGCAGGCTCCAGGCTCCGAGCTGTCAGCACAGAGCCCGATGCGGGGCTCGAACCCACAAGCTGTGAGATCATGACCTGAGCCGAAGTCAGATGCTTAACTGACTGAGCCACCCAGGGGCTCCAGATAGAAATCTTTTTAAAATACCTGAGTTGTTCACAAGGTATTTTCACTTTTATTAACATCAACCAAATAAATTCTTATTTGCACTTTTTGTATTAACATTTCTTAGGGGTTATATTGTCAGGATGTTGTCTCAAGGGGACTGTTGACAGTCTAGATGAAACATATAATGCATCAACAGTTTTTGATCTTCAGTATTTTAGAAATATGGGTAGTGCTTATTGATGGGTGGCAATCTATAATGTCTACGCTTTGATGTAATGTGATATAATCTATCTTTATATATAAAATCTTTACTTATAGGGTTGATGTTAATAACTTGCCCTCTTCAGAAGAGTGTTTTAAGTTTTTATAATTGTTGATAGATTTGTATTGAGCCAGCTGTCTTATTTATCATAAGACTTCTACTAGTGAGATTGTCGCCCAAGATGGGGAAAAACCATGAAGTATTGTTTTCTGTATAATTCTCAAATGTTTTTTGACTTCTACTTTTTTTTTTTTTTTTACTTCTACTTTTAATACCCTTCTGGATCATGCCTTTTGCCTAAATTTTTAAGCAGTAATAGAGGGACACCTGGCTGGCTCAGTAGGTAGAGCATGTGACTCTTGATCTCAGGGTTTTAAGTTTAAGCCTCATGTTGAGTGTAGAGATTACTTAAAAATAAAATTTGGTGGGAAAATAGCAGAATTTAAGCTTTTCTTATTCTTGACCTATATATCTTCAAAAATAAACTTTGACTTCACAAGTAGTGAAGTGACAACAATGGCTAAGAGGTAAAAGTTATCATCAGTACTGAATAATTAAGATTTGACTATTTCCATGATAGAATTTATAATCTGTTATAGTTTATTTATGTGTGTGTATGGTTCCCTCCAGCTATATTGTGAACACCAGTGTTTTATTTATATTTATATGCTTGATTGCCTAGCCCCAAGTACAGTGCTTTACACAGAGTAGGAACTCAGTAAATGTTTATAGAATTCAGTTCAGTAAACAGTCACTTTGAAGACCACATTAACATTTTCAGAATGTGAAAGTACCATTCATTAAATTATCTCGCCTTTCATATTAACTGATTCCCTGGCATTTGTATAAAGTAAGTAGTTTATGGTCTTCTGGTAGTTTCTTAACCTGTAACTTGCCTTTTAAAAAGGTTTTCATTTCAGTATAGTTAGCATACGGTATTATATTAGTTTCAGGTGTGCAATATAGTGGTTCAACAATTCTGTTACTCATTGTTCATCAAGATAATTGTATACTTTTTAAAAAATGTATTTATTAAGAGAGGGAGGGAGAGAGAGAGCGCGAGCACAAGTGGGGGAGGGGCAGAGAGAAAGAGAGACAGAATCCCAAGCAGGCTCTATGTCAACAGCGCAGAGTCTGACGAGAGGCTCAAACCTATGAACTATGAGATCATGACCTGAGCTGAGGCTAAGTACCAGACGCTTAACCAACTGTGCCATCCAGGTGCCCCC